GTCGGGAGTATTGATTGAAGTTCGCCACAAACTAGATAAATTGAGAGAAAACGAACAACTCAAGTTCTTCTGGGATTTTGGCATCTAAGTCTTTGAGGCTACCGAATCATACAGCAACACAGAAGCAAAAAACTGCCCCTAAGTCGTGGCAGTTATGGGCGATCATAATATCAAGCTCAAAGGAATTGATATGCTTCGGAATTACACCGACATTTTTATTCGTCCCTTTCATGATTCACAAGAATAGGATCAAACGAAAGGCCGGCTACTGCTTTCATAAGCGAACTAGAACACACAAAGACCTAATTGCCCAGACTTGACGGAATTCAAAAACAATTACACAACCCAGTTGGACATGAACAATTTTGCACTTTGCAGCCTCTTTCGCCATAACTAAAATGTTGCTTTTCTCTCGCTATTTCCATGGCAGATGTTCAGCGGAAATACAATCCTTACTTCCACAAATCCAGTCATCCCAGGAAAACTCCAGTTCACGTAGCCCAAGCAGACTTATCCTAATTTCTTTCATTGTTTAATTTGTGTGGAAGATGTCTCTCTCTGAATTTTATTTTTACAGAACAATAATTGCCTTATAGAACGGACTCCCGGGAAGATGCTTCCTTGATCATTTCAATCTTAACTGCTTCAAATCTGGGATCATCATTTCTCTTTTTTCTTTAGCATATCCTTATAATATATAATATGCAACTCTTGTTCCCTCCCTATGCTTATCCTTGGTATGACAATAAACTACATCCGGCAGCAGGTCTTCTGATGGGGTTTTTTGAGGTGCATGGAACGGTCCCTTAATTGCTGTTGTTCCCAGGGCCACCCTGACTCGTTATGATAGCGGCTGTTAGAGCCCAGGTATGGACAAATTGTTAACCTCAAAACTGAGGTTAAAACACTATGAAACTATAAAACATCTCATATTAAATTAACCAGCAATACATTTTCATAGTAAAATATATATATGTATATATATATACACAATATATTTCTGTAAAGAAAAAATATTACTAGCAATACATCTTTTGTTTAAAAAAATTAAGAGCAACACACCTTTGGAACAAAATGAAAAAATTACAAGCAATAATGTTTTTTTTTTTAAAGAAATTACTAATGCAATCAAGAAAATTACATTCCTCCTTTTACTAATTACTTTTTTTTCTTGATTTGCCCTGCTGAAATTTGGCTGCGTCTTATACACACGTGCGTCTTATATGCCGTCAAATTCTGTAGTTTAACATTATTTAGTCATTTCCTTTTTGATCTTAATTTTCCGGTCCGAATTGAGATTTTGAAAGGACAAAAGTACGCAGGTGTAGCCTTTTAGAAATTTTTCAACTGAGAATATAAAGTTCGCGTATAGTGTATTTTATAGTCCCAGTAAACAGAACTTGCTCTCTCAAAGAGGAGAGTAAGGAAACAAGGGAAGACCACGCTTGATTATTCATAACAAGGTTGTTATTCATTTCTCGTGTTTGTATTTTGTATTCTTAAGAAAAGAGGGATTTTTTTTTTTGTTGTTTTTTGATTAGGCTAAACTCTTTCTGATAAACATGAAAAAACATCTTGCGGACAAACTTGCCAGTAATCACGCCCATCTAATAAACCGTATCACGCAATGGGAATTATAGACAAATTGCTGTGAACACATTCTGAAAAAAAATTAAAAAGTGTGGCTACGAAGACTGACAATGCAGCACGTGGCGTGTATACGATGAGAATACGTAACGTGTAAAACGAAGATTCCATTGTTTCAGGCAAGAAATCTAAAACACTGCTACTCCTACTGCGAATGATAAGTTTACAAGAGATTTCTCGTATCTTCGAGTATTTTCTCCTCGATACCAATAATTTATAAATAAATTCAGCTTGTCTTCACAATCTGCATTTTATTGTCGAAACGTAGCCAAGAGGTTACTAAATTAACATTGCAACCTCCTTTTTATGCTCTATGATCACTACAATTTCAACTTGCTTAATTCTAGAGTCAAATATTATCTTCCCCTCCCATCCAAAATAAACTATCCCTTATCGTTACCCTCTACCTCGAGTGAGGGCCTGCAGAATGAAATTACTCAAAAAAATTACCACCATGCTTTTCTATATTTAAAAACCTTTAATCAATGTTTGTATTAATTTTATCCATTCCATCACCTGTTCCGCCATCTTACGCAAAATTAACGGTTGTTTCCTGCTGTGCCTTTTGATTTTAGTATGTGAGGGTCAAATTATCCAAGCATTCTTCCTTCATTTTCTGTTACAGAAATAGCAATTTCTCTTTCTGAGTCTATGTAAAAAAAAATGTCATTTTTGTTCCTCTCTTTCTGAAAACTTGCCACTTGCTCACACGCTCTGTTCATTTTTGCCTCGGCATTCATCTCTTGAACTATATTTCTGATGCTTTAAATCTCCGGTTAGAACGATACCATAGATTGCCCAAATGGATCACTGACCTATAAATAGTCGAGATAAAAGACAACACATACGACCAGATGATTGCATATAAGTAAGAAACAAGTGTTGCCACTTGATGTTGAATTTAATGTCAACTTTTACATTTGCATACGCTCTTTACCTGATATTGAGCAGAGCAATTTAACCCATAATATAGCATAAATTAAGACTATATTTTATGATATATATATATATATATATATATATATATATATATATATATATATATATATATATATATATATATATATATATATATATATATATCGAGAGAGAGCGAGAAAGAAAGAATAAGTACAGGTAATAAATCCGTTGGCATATAATCCAAGTGAACCCTAGTAATATAAAATATTAAAACTGATCCACAAAAAGAGATCAATGCATTTATTAGGACAGAATATATAAATAGTGTTACACAACAAAATACCAAATTACCTCATTTTGGGTGGGGGATAGATCTTTTTCAGCTGACGAAAACTACGTCCGTCATATTCAATCCCGGAGTTGGTTTCGGAATTAGAAATTTAATTTTGAAAGCCATCTAAAAATTGATGCAGAGTTTATCCATTTCGATATTTCAGTCAGACGAAATAAAATTAAACCCGGGTAAAATATACTTCTGTTGATATAGATCTATTCTCCCCATGTGAGGTAATTTGGGACTTTGGTGGGTAATAATATATATATATATATATATATATATATATATATATATATATATATATATATATATGTAGTAATAATACAATATGATAATCCGTATGGAATTTACAGGAGGATATAGATCCAGAGAGAGCTCTATGCCAAAAGACAGCGCAATTTTTTTTTTAATTAAAGAATATCAAACACTTAAAATCTCATAGGTAATAATTTGTATTTCATGAGAGATCTAAAAAAGCAGCTCTCAATCTTCAAGACCTACAAAAAAATCACAGTGATTTGTTTGTATTTCATTAAGATTTTTGGCATAAGCTTTTGGGACGCTTAAAAAAGCATGGATTAAAAAGATATTGGAACAAACATCAAATGTTTTTTAAAAAATAATAAATACAGAAATCAAACGTCCTTATCTAAATATCTTTGTCACTTAAAAGAAACCAATGAAACACCAACAGTAAAATGGAAATTAATAAGAAGAGCTAGATCTTATAGATCATTAAATGCCCCATGTCCTTTGTGCATACATGATAAATTATACATAATTAAGTTTCTGAAAATCAAAAATTACTTAATTAAAGAAATGGTATAGCTACATTTTGAAGACACTGTCAAATATTTTACTTAAATAATGAGTAATTTTGAAAAAGAGATGCAAGATGAAACATACATATTTATATTTAATCTTTGATTAATAATTTTTTTTAAAAATACGAATGTGTTTCTAATATATGTAAAAATATAGTGTATAGACTCTTAGTTATTAGATGTAGATACAGTACTTTATATTTGTAGCAATAGATTTTAAATATTAAAAATAGACTTACTCATATTCAGACGATCCTTTTAAAAAATCTTTGTCTATAATATTATGAATTAAGTGACCAAATAAAAATGCCAAATATTTTTATCATAGCAAAAACCCAGACGATACGCGAAAAACTTATGTTATTGTTTATGAGCAGACAAACCTATCCCACCTTAAATTTATCTGTTATTGGAAATAACTTATATTTGATACATAATTTGTCTCGGGAAGATGAAACCCAACCAGCTCCTAACAAATTAATTGAATTTTCCGTAACCTTAACAACTTAAAATATTAAGATTGCTTGTGCTCATAAATTAAGTAAATTTCTTAATAGATTATTCTAAAAATCGCTTGAAAATGGAACGGTGCTATGTATTTTAAATTTAATTTTTTATAATTAAATTTAAAATTTTAGTTTCTGTTTTGAAATCTGTTAATTCCTGTGTCTCCCGAGTATATATATATATATATATATATATATATATATATATATATATATATATATATATAATTATAAATTAATTGATTTAAAATATGTTTTTTCCACACACAGTTCTAACCACGTTTCAAAAATGGAAGCTAGATGCTCCGAATTTAATTTGTAATTAATATATCTATCTATATTATATATCTATATTATATTATATATCTTACTGTTTATTTATATATATATATATATATATATATATATATATATATATATATATATATATATATATATATAATTGTGCATTAAAGCCATTCATGTACCCTTTTTTTTGGGACAGTGGGTATTAATGACTTATGGGGAGTAATCTATAAATGTTAGCTGATATTTAAACAAACCTATAATTAATACCAAAATGGATGCGTGACTGAGTGACTCACACCATTATCGATATGTCGACGGAAATGTTTGAAAGCCATCCCACGGGTTGACGCAGCAAGATGCATGAAATTTGGTAAACAAAGCAGTTCCGAAACCCTTGCCATATCATCGCGTGGGGGGATTAGACATATTTTTCCTTGTTCAAATAATTTACAGAAGAGATTATGCTCTTTTTCTCCTTCTCTCTGTCTGTCTCTAAAATCGGTCCCCATATGATCACCGAAATTAAGCAACGTCAAGCCTGGTCAGTACCTAGGTGGGAGAAGCTTTGGGAATACCAGGTGTTGTAAGCTTCGATGTCTCAGAGAGTGTAATGGATAATGCATCGAATATTTAATCAAATTCCAATTCTGTCCGTTATATTCAACTAGGCGCAAATAACCTTGCGAAAGATGTGAATCGACCTCTACACCAAGCTATGGGTTAATTGGCAAAACTTGTATCACTAAATCTTTATTTACTAAAAATGGTTTCAATTAACCTGCAAAGTTTATATACATATATTATATATATATATATATATATATATATATATATATATATATATATATATATATATATCATCAGACAAAATTAAATGTTCTCAGGTGGCTGTGACACACATACCAAAAATCTCATTCAATTGGCAAATAACATTTTCTACTCAGGTGAGATTTTTCATTACTACATCATGTGCATATATATATATATATATATATATATATATATATATATATATATATATATAAAGAGAGAGAGATATACACATCCACGCACACGCAGGCACACACACGCACACACTCACACATAGACTTACACATACGAATATATATATATATATATATATATATATATATATATATATATTTTTTTTTATACGAATATTATTTTTCTTTTGAGTAGGAGTGGCTATTTTTTAAATTACATTTCCTGTCACTTTTACAATTAAGCTTTGTTGCCTTTAGTCACATTGATTTTGTTTTGTCAAAGATTTAATTAACTTTCTCATAAATTGTAAAACCTTTTAACCAAATATTTCACATATGAGTTCCGAGCAAAATATATATATATATATATATATGTGTGTGTGTGTGTGTGTGTGTGTGTGTGTGTGTGTGTGTGTGTATATGTTTGTGTGTGTGCGTGCGTGCGTTTTATATGTGTGAGGAGAGAGATAGAGAGAGATAGAGAGAGTGTCATAGAGTGATCGATATTATATCAATATTTGTGTATGTCACTGTGCGCGTCCGAAAGAATCTGAAAGGTAACCTTATAGCTGAAATATGAAAAACAGATAATGTTTTTTTTTTGTTTTTTTTTTAAATATATGACAAAAGAACAAATTATAAATGGGGCACATTGAAGCATTTGAGAAATAATTATTTCCTAGGAATAATAGCGTTGTACTTCGAGAATATTATTTAAAACTAGAAGCACATAACGAGAGAAATGCTGTCGGAAGGCGGTATCATTTAAAACGAGGAAAAGAGAAATAATTATCTGCAGCTCTAAGAATCTTGTATATAACGCACATTCAACTTTAGCTTAATGGATGGTTTATAACGTATCTGGTAGATAATGCGCATTGACATATTTTTTTTCCAGCTAAATTTACCCCAAATTTAATTTTTTCAATATTTTATTGGGTTCCTACTAAGAAATAATACGCAATAAATTTCACATTATAAAACAAAGACAGTAGAAAGTTTCTAATGTAATCACGCGGAAAGGAATTAGTACAAGATCATTCTTTGGACGATGACCTCAAAGAGAATCGATTATCTACTTGCCGAGTGGTTAGATCGTTCGCATTCAGACCAAGAGTCCAGGGTTCAAATCTCACTATGGTCGGTGTTATCGGACTGGAGGGGGCCGATCCCAGCGTGCGGCAACTTTGGAAAGTGCCTGAAAACTATACCACGGTTTGTGAGAGAAATTGGCGTCGATAGTTGTGCTAGCACGAAGCCACCAGTCATCGTGGTCGTGTTCAAATAGTTGTTCACGCTAGATAACATGCTCTTTCCCCGAGACTGTAAATAAGGTCTGCTCAGCATAGTTGCAGTATAAACTACGGATGGCTTCTGTGGCTGTTGAATCACAAATACGGCCCTAGTAAACATGCATCCTCGAATACGAGTGGCTAATAATATACATATACTAGCAGCATGGCCCGGCGTTGCCCGTACTTGATTCAAAAATCGTACGACTCATACAGCAATCGCTATCACTTGACTTAAAATATTTTTGCCCTTACTTGCCTTTAAAGGACTGCTTTTTGCCGTGCTGATGTTGCTACATGCCTTACTTCTTGCCTATCTCACACTGCGATTTTTTCTATGCTCTATGCTAAATATTAAATCTGTTACGAAAAAAAGAACTAGACAAAATGAACACAAAACGATCAGATTTAAAAAAGGACCCGTAATTGGAAAAACCGAATGAAAACAGAATGTTAACAACAAATACTTTTCAACCCAGTTCTGCGGAATCAGAATCAACGTTGAGTTTAAGAAAGCTAATGAGCCAATTGGAGTAAAGTGCCATGAAGATTTAAATTTTACCCACTTGCGACGAATGCAGCTATTGATTCCTTTTTGCATGCTAGCATGCTAGTTAACATTCGTGTCAGTCAGCTGTTGGCTCTCATGCTGGCCAATAGAATCTTCCTGCCTATTCGTGGCAGCCAGCTATTGGCTCTCTCTCTAGCCAGTACAAAATGATCGCAAACTACATGAAAACTGCCGTAGAAGCATGAAATAAATCGATTATTTCCACTATCGATGGTAGTTGGGAAATGCAAAGCCGGCCTTGGTTTTTCCGCTAACTTCGAGCATGTGCATGTAAATTTTGGTGCAAATCCATCGAAAATTGCGGCCGTGCATTCGTTACACAAACACACAGACATACACACATCCTGCCTTTTATAGATGGAGATTTGTCCATCTATCTTTTAGGCAAAAACTAGCAAAATAAAAAAAAGTGTATTTTACATAACGTGGTGTTCGAGTCGTGACCTGAGCTTACTTAGTCAAAAATTTTCTACAGCTGTCGAATATGGCAGTATTTTGGGGATGTCTGTAACATTTTTTATACATCTAAAATAAAGTTTAAATTTGAAAAGCGAGAGTGTAACCGTACTGTTCTTCGGACCCATTACGAGTTGCACTGGAACAATAAATTAACGTGTAATATGTCAAGTATAAATCAATGGTAACCCGGTTTCAAAAATATTAACCCAAGAGTAAACGCCGCGTACTATTACACAAGTAACACCAGTGAGGCCAATATTGTGCTGACCGACTGGATCCAAATGCACACGCAGTATCTTGCGCACACAAATCCGACATCAAATGCTGGAAATATGATCAATGTTTGCAGGCGAAATCTCTGTTAATGTCTACTTTTATATAGCGATGTCCCCAGGCCTTGAAACGAGGCAACATCCTTCTGAAGATACAGATACTTTTCATGTCGATTAAGGTGTGTGTAAGCTTATGATGACGTTACTAAAATATTACTATCAGCAATTTTGCTGAACCCAGACGAACGCTTCATCCTAAATTTGACAGAAATTTATGTTGATGTTACGAAGTACTCTTGCTCTAAACTTCCGCCATTGTTAAATAACAGAACACTTTTTCTTCACTTAATATATATATATATAGAAGTTATATTTTTTTTATTAGGAACCACTTATTTAGATTATGAAGGCATGTTTTAATATCTTCCAGGAATGTATTATCCGTTGTCAGTTGGAATGTGCGGTGTGGTGTGATAGATAATGGCTCATAATTAAATCCTGGAAACACTAGTTCAAATTCCAGTACAGTTCGTTGCATTCAATCACCATTGCGCAAGGCACGGCTCAATCTCTTTTCCTTTCAGTTGAATAGCAGGACAGACTGGGTCCTGTATCCTACCGCAGAAAAAAAAAGACATGGATCCAAATTAACATGGTGATTTTCTCAACCTAGCTTAGAGGCGACACAAGGTTGAAATTATAGGGCACTCATCGAAAACATTTCGTTTAAAAAGTAATAGCATGCGTTATTGGTGTCAAAGTTATGATGCTTGTTGGTAGTTGCATAATTAAAAGAAGAACTTGTAGTTCCAACGAATGATTTAAACATCATCAACTCGTTTTTTTTCCCTTGATTTTAATTCTTAAGCGTTTCTAGTTTCTTTACAATGTTTTGCTCAAATTAAAGGAGTGGGCAAGACTAGAAAATGCTAGTTGAAATATTGTCAGGAAATAAATCATTCGTTGGAACTACAAATTTACTTTTAATTTTCAACTAGCAAAGGAGACAAGCATCCTAACTTTAGCGGAAGACATATTTATCTATACTAATGTCTTCGGATTTCGGTGTCATATTTTTCAACATCTGTTATGCAATTGGTTAATGTTGGTGTCTACGATTCATAGTTCGTAATTTGCGGGTTTTTTTCCTTTACTAAGAATCATAGGGAAATAAACATCCATGCTTTTCTTAGCGCATTTCTTTATATGTTCATGTCTTCATGTTGTACTTTTTTCACTATTATACCTTTATTTAAGTTTCTTTATATAAAGCGATTCTGTTTGTTTATATTCGACGCACCAGATTTTTCAATTATATATTTGCTCTCCAATCCACTAATTTATTATTCTTTTAATTTATTCAGTTTTTTTTTTTGCGATATTCTCATATCGCCTTATTTTCTTTGTATTCAGTTACAAATGTTTTCTATTTCCATTTTCATGTTTTTTTTCCTTTATCTCTGTTCGAAAATATTGTAATTTCCAAAGCTGTGTCCCCATCAATCAATACCTTTAAAATATCTAGTTTACTTTTCTTTGAAGATCAAAATTCCTTACACATGTCTGAAATCAGTGTATACAAAAGTACCATCATCATTGAATATATTATTAACACACACACACACGTATATATATATATATATATATATATATATATATATATATATATATATATATAGATAGATAGATAGATAGATAGATAGATATTGCTTATATTTTGGCATCCTATTTTCATTGAGGCAGGTTTCATTGAATAAGTTTTATCTATTTATTTTCTTAAAGTTTTCTATGTTAATGGATTGAAACCAAACTTTTATAAGATTAATTATGAATCTTGCGCAACTGTTTTAAAATGTGTACAATAGATAGATTAGAATATCAAGTTTTACACTAATAGTTTTAATACTTATTCCTTAAAAAACTCTTGACACATCTTACTTAGTTACTTCCCCTCAATCAGTGTCAAGCGATCACGTACCCACTCAGCGTTTCCCACTTCACAAGTAAGTTT